CACTTGATTATTTGCCATTTTCCATGCATGACAGCGTGTTAAAATTTGTCGACAGATTTATTGCGAGACTCGAGAATGTATTTGGTAAATGCCAATCCGTGAGTGGCACTAAAATCAATCAATCGAAAATGATTTAATTGTTTGCCCGTCGCCATTGTGTGGGATAATTGGCAAAGCGCAGGCCTCGTTGATGGTTGAAAGTTTTGTAGAAATTCCTAGCAGGCAAGAGAGATGACTAATGAATCGTCCAAATTGATTTGGCCATATCAGCAGCAAAACCCCCAAAGCAGTGGCCATAAAAACGAAACTTAAATACCGAAAAATGTGCGTGCTCCTTTGGCAATCAGCCATTACAGCCAGCGAGTTAGGGATAAAAAGTAAAAAATATAGCCATGCTGGTCGCTCATAAATAGGCCTCGCCGAATCGGCCCCTTGGGGGACATGCGTCGTATACGTGATATTTTTTAATTACATTCAAAATGCTTTGTGAGTGCTGCGTGTGGAAAATTCGCTTTTAATTGCCCCACCAACAAAGCGAAGGCTATGCCGAAAATTCAATTGGAAAGTGCTCCCAATGCGGAGAGGAACGGGAAACTGAAAACTCTTACCCCAACTCAGATGGAAGTATCCTTAGGAAAATGAAAATTTAATTAATGCCACCACTAAAAAGCAGAAAAACCAAAACTCGCTGGGGATTGGAATGGGGTGGCGAAATTCTAAACTAATATGGAAAATATTTTGTATTTGCAGCAAAACTTTTCCCGCCAGCTGCGACCATCTGAAGAGTGTGTGAAAAGGAGAGAATGTGAGCGAGTGAGGGAGAGGGAGACAAGTTTTTAGAGAGAGAGAGGTAGCTAGTGTCTGGAGTATAACGCACACATATGAGATTCTAGCTTAAATGTCACTGTGGGGTCATTAGTGCTCAGAGATAAAATATCAAATCTAAATTTTATTGCCATTGCCTTTTGCAATCTGACATAAATAAATACCAAGAAAATAACCAGTTCTGGTGGCTTTCCCTGCATTTAGTGGTTCATAACTATGGCTAAAACCAAAAAAGGAACAACTCAAAGGTGGTTTTCGGAACAGATTGCGCTTGATGACTAAGGTCAGACCGCACTATTCAATTAAATTCAATGCCCAGTCAAATTTTGCGGCATTAAAGCGCAAATGGAACGAAATTAGCGCCCAAAGCGGGAGACAAATGAAAAGGCATTTAAAATGTCAACACGACCGCAACATCGTGTGCGAAATGGTCAGAAAAGGTGTGTCTGTTTGTGTGTGAGCACATGCATGTGTTTGGAGGTTTGAAGGTATGGGTGGCTGTATGTTTGTGTGTGCGGATCCTGGATTCTCCAACAGCAACAACGACTTTTGCGGTTGCACAAAAGTAAACCAAAGTGACATGGAGTCAAAGGTGAGGGCTAAACGGGTTTTTTGGGGGTTCGGGGTTCGCTTAAATGCTTGACCACGAAAAGGCCATTAGAAAATGGTCGCATGTGTGTGTGTGAGTTCCGGGGGCCAAAAGCCATCTCGGGTGACAGTTGGAAATTAGGCAGAAGCCAACCCGAAAGACAAAACAAAAAAAATAATCCAAAAACTGAAACCCCAAAACGTTTGCCAACACGTGTAAACTTTTGCAAGTTTTTTGCTACCAAGGCTGAATGCTGTGTTTTCTTGCGGATAGAATGGACATCTTGTCTCAGGGATGATAGGCGAGTCCTTCACCTTCACCTGATATCGTTAAACTTTAATTCAAAAACTTTAATATTTTATCACAACATGTTTCGTACTTTCACTTGAAAAGGGATATTTCTAATGGCATTTGCTTCAGGGACAGCGGTTCATCTCTTTGGGCTTTCATTTAAAACATAAATGTTGTGTGCTATTCCCCTTCCACAGGACTAATTTAACTTTTACTGTCATCCACCAAAAAAACTTTGTATATTGAAATCTTAATATTTAATGAGAGGACTAAAACTTCAACATATTTCTGTAAAGAAAAAAAGTGTTAATACATTCTATGGAAATAGTTTTTGCTGTAAAAATATTTGAAACTATTTAAAAAATATTTAATTATAAATTATACATTTTTTTATAAAATTATATTTTATTTCAAAGCTAAACTAAAATGATTTACATTTACAAAATTAAGTTTAGTGCCAAAAGCAACGTAAGGTGAATAATTTCCTTTTTCATTGACATTATTCTACGTTATAGCACGTTATAACCTTTATTTAAAATTTAAAATATCCCAACATTCGTTTAATGACCAAACTCTTAATGGCACATATATTTTTGATGTTAAAAGCAAAAGATTTAAAGCAAACTCTAGCCCCCGCTGACGAACGAGATTTGTAATTTGCCATTGCAGACCCAAGAAACCAACAGAGTCACGCTCTGATTCCCACCTCTAAACCCCAAACGACAATGCACACACCTGGATTTCTGTGTATAGGTTCACCAAAGCTATAATCTCCTGCCGCATTGCCGTTGAATGTGTAATAAAGCACATGACTTTGGTCTTTTATGGTTTGGCCGTGTTAAATTTGGCCGCAGCTCACCTTGAACCCGAGGAACAATGACCAAAGTAAACCCTGATTGTCCGTTGACGTGGATGTGAATGTGGATCCTGATGCTGGGTGCTCTGTGCTCTTTGCTCTTTGCTCGGCCACAAGGACAACAATGTGCAACAATTAAATGTCAAACAGGAGCTTTTGATGGACGCTTAAAATCACTGCATCTGTCAGCTGACACTGAACACAGAAGCCGGCTTCGTTTTGTGGCCATCCCAGAACGGAGGAGCAGGGTGCAAATCAGGGTGGGTTTGGGGGAAAGTACAAGTCACGGAACGGTCACACAGGCACAGGTACAAACCCATACACCTACACAAAGGCAGCCACACATGATGGCGGAGCAGGTGCTCATAGCGTTTAAAATGTACACCCATAAACAAAAGTGCAAACAAAGCCATAAACAAGAGGAGGACTTCAGAGCAGGTGGCAGTGGGGTCCCAACTTTCAGGGGATGGGATGGCAAGGGTCCTTTGCCAGGACCCGCCGATGTCGTTCGTTAGTTTTTCCTGCCTGCCTGCCTGCCAGTGTGCAAAGGACACTGGCTTGGGGCGTGGTCAAAACTAATTTTATTCCAAGTTCATGTGGCAAGTCAGGTTACGGAATTATTACGTGAGCTTCTTAATTTTAATTGTTTTAAAATTTTATGTGTTTTTCCAGAAGAATTTTCTGTTTTTTTTTTACAGATTTTGTAAAAGGGTAAATATAATTTTATTGTGTTTATTAATACCTATCGAAATGTAGAAAACTATTTTAAAATCGGACAATCCACTAAAAAGTTATTAAACAGCCGCTAGATGGCGCCAGTAGCTTTGACGACTGCATATCTTATGTTTATGCATATGTTTTGTAGTAGAACATGAGAAAGCAGCTATCCGTAATCTAAGATACGAGTATAAAATGAAATGAAATCACAAACTAAAATCAAGTTAGACAGTTATTTGAAAGTAATTAAACTCAAATCAAAATCAGTTGAATTAGTTCATCTAGTTTATCATAGTTTGTGCTTCACATATGTACATAATTCAATAGTTTTCGTTTAGCCCGAGGGCACTGTGCTCGTAAACATCGCTGGCTGCCAGCGAACGACATTGAATGTCTGGGCCGACAGCAACCCCTTTTGGGTGACCCCCCCCCCCTGTCCCCCCTCCATCACCCCTCCGTGTCGCGCCACTGCACTCCCTTCCGGTCGCTGGTCGCTGTTTCTGCTCCGCTCCGCTCACAGTTTGTTAGCTTTTCTTTGTGACGAGCTTCTGTTGCCGGTTCGCAGGGTCCCAGCGACCATGGTTTTCACGGGAGTCGCCCGAAAAGGAGCAAGAGCTGGAGGTGTCCTCCAGGATCCCCAAGCTGGAGCTGTATCCCAACCGAAGGCAAAGGGCCTGTCAGCGTTTTCTGTGCTGCGCTTTGTTTTTAATACATGTACGTGGTGGCATCGTTTATTATTATTTTTTGTGTTGCCAGGAGTGTAGGGAGCGAGAGCGAACCGAAGGACATCCCTGCGTATACGTTATGTTCAATGCATGGCGGTCGTGTGTGTAGCGGAGTGTGTGTGCGCATATATAACCCATGGGTCCATGTCACGCACACATTAGAAGGTAAACACGCGTTTCGCCACACGATGCATAAACATTTGGACATTCCATTCGCCCCAGCTCCAGTTCCCCAGGAAAATCGCAAGGACCTGCGTGTGCGGCATCGTTGGGTTACGAACTAAATTAAATTTTTACATCAACATTTGCGCTTCATTAGAGATGGGAAAATGGTTGGCTGGCTGGCTGGTTGGAGTGTAGGAAATGTGTGGGACAATGCCAAGTGTTGCTCGTGGAGTGCCCGGTGGGAATGGATTGGGCTAAGCAGTCCCACGACCAGACAAATGAGTTGCGAGTGTTATTGGTGGGGAAAATGGCAAAGCAAACTCACTAAATTAGCCCTGGGCCTTCCGGGCAGCGGGGAATGGATTGAGATGGCAGGGGGAATGGCCAAAGGATGCTGGCCAGACAGAATGTTAAACTTATCGCAGGCATAACGATTCAATTGATGGACCAGTGGAATTGATAGTCGGCCAGATAATTGGATAGAGTTGGATGTGAGTGGCACTGCGAGGAAAATAGGCCAAGGGATGCGTTAAAGGGGATGTAGAAATAATTAAGATTTAATTTTACTTTTACACTAACAAAAAATGTTTGAAATTATGCGTAAAAGTAATTAAAAACACTAGAAACCCTTTTGATAAGGAAGTCACACAATCTAATTTGAAAAATCTACCAATAATTTGGGAACGCCCGGTCCGGAATAATAATCTCAATTGATTATTCCAATAATATACGAAATAATACATTCAATACAAGAAAAGGTTTGCAATAAAAATCGTATATCCTCCTAGCGGTGTAGCTTCTAGATTTCCAAAGTCCCCAATCCGACTTATTCTCATTCGGCGTAATCCTCGGCATCCTGGAGACTTTTCATCTGTATCGACGGCATGCAGCAGATCTTCCGCTTGTTGGTGCAAGTGGTAAGGACGCGACTCTGAAACCTCTCCTCGCAGTTCCACAACTCTCGGCAGGATCCACCGTTCTTATAACAGCTCTCCAGATCTGTAATATATAATCTATAATCAGAAAGCACTTAAAACTAGGATCCACGAGCTCACGAATCTGTTTGGGATGCATGTAGGTGTAGTAGCCACCGACCGCTAGAAAGATTACGGTTAAAGCAAGCAGGACCACAGTGCATGCCAAATGACCGATCATCTTTTGAGGTCCTCGAACAGCGATCCCCGATCTCCGTAGCCCTCCTCAGCGAACTTCGTAGTGTGTGGCGGTTGTAATTGTGTTTCAAAATAATCAAATATACTTCCGAATTGAAAGCTATCTCCTTGCCTCTGCGAGCAAAGCTTCCTTCCTGAATAGAGCCGCCTGGCCTCAAAGAAGTCTGCCGACGATTATGCTCTCAAGTGCCCCGCCCCGCTAAGTGAGTAAGTAAATTATTATGATAATGCGCTTTTCGAGAGCGAAGTGCAGTCTATGGGCGATGTTAAATTGAAACTTCTTAATTAAAAACTTGCTGCATAAAAACTGGCAGCAGCAAATCGAGGAGGAAAGCTGCACTGCTGGAAAAGTTTCCTAATTGCAAAAAGAGTTGAGAATAATTAATTACAGATTTCTTTAAATTAATTTAAATTAAAATATAAAAATAAATGAAAATAATGTAATTCTGAGCTGTGAAAGCTAACATAAAATATGCCACTTAATTTCGAGTAAAAATTGTAATTTAAATTTAAAAGTTGTGAAAGTTCCTGCGGAAGGTCAAGGGAAAATCCCTTCTAGGCAGTTACTTTTCTCACCAAATAATCGCATAACTTGTATTTAGATGGCGGTAATCCTTATTTTTAATTTCAAGTGTATAGGGGATGGGGTGGTTAGGGGTTGGGGATGGGTCCTCGGGACACCTCCGTTGCCTGCAAATCAGTGTGAAGCAAAATAAACCGCTTAAGGACTTGCGACTTGGCTGCGCGTTGGAAATAACAAGAAAACTGCCCTCCAGCTAGAGTCTGCTCATGCTAAGGAGGTTGGGTTGGGGTTGGGAAAAGCGGGAAATGTGGGAAAAGCGGGAAAAGGGGCACCGGCGGAAGTGGCGGGCGGATGTGCTTGGTCAGGCCATTGGACCATTGGCTGCCCACAGCGGCCAGTTAGGGAGAAGCTTCGGCAGAAGCAGAAGCTACAGTGGGAAAAAATTCAATTAAAAGCAACAGCACGTAACTGAAACTTTTCTTTTTCCCTCTCGTTTTTGCAAGTTTTGTATCTTTTCACCGTCACCCTCTATACGTATGTATATATGTATGTATGTGTGTGTTTTTCTTGTTCGTGGGGCGAGAAAATAAAGGAGGAACTGCTCCGGGGCCTCCTCTACCCACAGAGCCATAGCACTTTGAGTTATAAGTTGGTGCCAGCTGTCAGTTCTCCCTGCCTTTAAAAGTTGCATGTTGGCTTGGCTCCTTTTCTACGGCATTTCCTTTCCTTTTCTCCGCTTTTTTTCCACTTTTATTTCCCGCTCCAAGTTGCAGCTGAAAATTGAAGATATCAGTTTTGTGGCTGGTCAATGGCACGTCAAAATCAAATGGAGGAGCCAAAGAAAAGTTGAAGGGGCAGATGCTGCTGCTTTCTTTGTGCTGCGAACAAATGAAATGAAATAATATAATGTATTCGTATTTAATCAAGTTATCCACTTGCAGCCCGATTCGCACATTACGTATTCGCAGTGAGGCCTACACTCATAAAAATAATTTTCTACATTTTAGAAAATCGCCCTAAAAAATTTTTCGCCTTTGAACTGAGAAAAATTTCCTATTTTTACGACAAATTTGCCATAAAATTAAGGCAGGTGACCATAAAAAAATATTTTTAGGGTTAATTTTTCTATTTTTCTAATATTTAGGGCGATTTTTTTCGATTTGCTTCGTTTTGACCTTTTCTAAATCCAACGGCGAATTGCCCTAATTTTTTTTCTAAAATTTTTCTAAATACAAGGGCGATTCGCCTTAAAAATCACTCCAAAAGTGTGAAATTCGGTAGCCCAGCGGTCTAATCACTTGCGCTTTCAACTTTGCTATATGAGGACTAAGGTCGTGGGGTTGTGGGTTCGAACCCTGTGTGATTCAACTTGATTTTTATGTTTTTTTTTTTTTTTGTAAACATTATAATACTGAGGACATTTTTTCGTCCGAATTTTAAATTAAAGTAGTCTTTTAAACCTTAAAAACGTATGGGAGTTCTGAGTTAAAAGCATACTTTGTGTTTGCGGGCAAGAAAACGGGACTAATTGTCACAATCGTCAGGAAAAAATATACGGTTTAGTTGCCTTTAGTCATATTATAACGTAGACCTCAAGAAAATAAGATGTGTGCAGAGTTTGTTCGTCGTCTTGCGCGAGGGGTCTGTGGTGCAGCGGTAGGACGTTAGACTCTGAACCGAGAGGTCGTGGGTTCGATTCTCGCAATGACCAAAAAAAGTAAGTTGTTTTTTCTCCTCATATTTATTTCCCTAATTCATTTACAAACATGATTTTTCAGTTCTAACGGCTGTGCTGTATAGATCGGGCCCCCTCCCTTAACGCGGCTCCCATATAAGCTACACACCAATACAATAATATGAAACGGTGTCCTCCGCCGGTGTTGTTTAATTAAAGCAGTCCAAGTTCCCAGAATATAGACGATTAAAAAAAAAACATGCTTCCCAAATTCAGTTAAGCATGCTCAAACACGATTTTTTTTAATTTGTCTAATTTTTTAGGGCATTCGCCTATAAAAACAGAAAATTCGCCCTTAATTTTAGAAAAATACACCTTAAAATTAGGGCAAATCACCCTAAAAACAGGAAAATATTTCTTATTTCAAGAAAAATCACCCTAAATTAAACCAAATTTCCATCGGGATTTTTTAGAAAATTTTTCTAAATACACGGGCGAATCGCCAGCGGATACGATTTATGGGCGATTTTCTAAATCCACGGGCGAAAAGTCAGTTTTTTAGGGTGATTTAGGGTAAAAATTTCTATGAGTGTACCCTGCGAATGACGTCACCAGAATCAGGTCAACTAAGGCGGGGCGGGCGGAAAATCTGGGAGGCTGGGGCATACAAATTATGTTGGAGCAGCAAAATGGCAACTCACTGTGGAATATTTTCGGCCGGCTAGCGCTCTCTGCATTTTCCCTCTCTTTCTGGCAAACTCACCTTGAGCTTGAGCTCCTTGGGTCCTTTTTCTATAGGTGTGCTACTTAATGGCCATTCACTAACACTAGGCTCTACAGCCCCAAAACAGCCCAACAACCCAACAACCCCCTGTAGAAAGTTCATTTTCGTTTTTGACATTTTTCAGTTTTTGTTTGCCTTATTTTCATTTTCATTCTCGTTTCGTGCTGCTGCTGTGTTTGCGGGGTAAATTAAATTCAGATTATGCGGCTGGCAGAGGCTCTTAACTAGATGAAATGAGATGAGGACGAATGGGGCTGGGTGGCCCGGGTGACTGGCATTTATTTTCCATATATTGATTGCTTTTTAATGGATATTTTGCTTTGCTGGCGCGGTGGCATAAGGTGGAACTGTCCGGTGTTATCCCCCCATTACCATCCGTATCCCCAATTCTCCCCCTGTTACCATTCCCATTTCTAGCCAGCTTCCACTTTCAGGGAGCATTAATTTTATTTACATAGTTAAATGGTTCAATTGTTTGGCTGTTGATTTAGTGCTGGAATTTCAGACAGTGAAATTAATTGTTTGATTTGTGGCGGCATCGTTCGTTTTCCCAGTGTGCCGAGTTCTATATATTTTATTTCTGTTTCGTTTTTTTTTTGGTTTTTTTTTTGGTAGGGCCTGCCATCTATGTAGGTCACTTTTCCCCTAGTCTTTCGCTGGCTATGTCCCTAGTGATTTACAGTTTTATTTGCACAGTTTATAAATAAAACTGTCAAGTGAGAGACGCCGTTCACTGACGTTGGCAGCTGCTCATCTAATGGCATTTTCCCATGCCTGTTTAAAGTCGACTCCCATAGCCCAACACCCCCGCCCCACAGCCCACAGCCCACAACCACCCCACCGCAGCCATTTGTTATGCTGCAGGGGGTTTCTCATCACCCATCCCTCAGCCACCCCTCCGATTTCAGTCCAGTCCGTCAGTCACTAGTCTAGTCAATCAGTTGGAACGTCAATCAAGCAGGAGCTAAAGTTACTGCGCTGAGCTTAGCGCAGCAGGTAACTAGCTGTAACTAACTGGCAGCAGAAAGCGAACAAAACGCAAACAAAAACATTAACGGGGAAATATTTTAAAGCAACTGCTTTTATTCTATTAACCCCCCGTGACTTTAATCTTTTGATTTTGGCACTGGGAAAAAAACTAACAGATTCTTAGGCTTAATAACAAACCAGGATTCGATTTATATGTTATTTATATGATGCAGAGCACTTGAAGCTAATAAGTTAGATTTTACTAGGTCACATTTGATAAATTAATTGGATTTAAATTTCTATGATAATCCTTTTAAACATTAAAACATACTTATGCCTTAATCACATTTTTTAAATAAAGTTGGTATTTTAATTTAAGTAAATTTTAATATAATTCCTTGCGACGATATAAATATGTATGATTAGTAATAATCACCTGTTTATGATGGAAAAAATCTTTAAATGGATTGAACATAGTTTTTTCAACACTATAACGTTAAAAATAATTTAATTTAATTTGAGGAAATTGTAACACAAATTCTTGGGCCGATATAAATATAAAATATATATAATAAAAAAAGACGTTCTTTTCATCATTATAACGCTGGAATACAATACTATAGTATTCAGAATTATGAGATGAAAGTGCATCTAAAGGGAAGTGGTATACCAAATGTATTGTGGCCAAATTTTCATGAGCCAGGTAAAAATCCCCATTTTCTCCCTTTTTTTCCTGTGTAGCATATACCCCCGAAGACCCTTTTGGCCTGCAGGGTATAACAATAACAAATCCATATACACACAGGCAGCATAAAAAAATTCACCACGCTCTGCTCTTTGGGGCAACAACTCTTTGGCGATGCTGCTGCTTTTGCTTTTGCTTTTCTGCTTCTGCTTGGCTGCTTTCTCTTTTGGCAAAAAGAGCGGCCCAGCCTCTCTCGTGCCGTCTCTCTCACGCATAGACATGGCAACAAGAGTGGTACTGGTAGTGGTAGCAACGGCAACGGCGAACGGCGGCTTTCATCTTTTTTTAGCACACGCGCCCGACTTGCTGCCTGGCCCAAAAGTTCGTACCGCCCCGCATTTCGGTTCCCCTT